ATCAAAACTGCAGAAGTATGAACACTTTTTCAAGGCAATACAACCACCCACTTATTCTTCAAATCCTTTGTGCTTCCTCTGAGACCTCTCAGAAAAAGGAAGTCACAAGGTTGACATAAGGAAAGGATTTTCTTTGAAAGATACACAATCCTCTACCTTCTGAAATGTACCTGATATAGGATTCAGCTGTAGGCAATTCCGAGCAAAGTGAACTACTCCCTGAAAAGCAACACTACTATTTTTGGGAAAAAATGTTGAGCTTGATGCCAAGTGCTTCCTGGTACAGAGTTCTAGTAATATACATCATTTATCTCTGGTTATAGAGGCATAACTTACCAATATTTTAACAGAGGAAAAGAAAATTCAATATTGCTTTATGTAGGACCAATCCCACAAAAAGAAAAAGACATGTTCAGCTTCCAGAGGTACCTGACAACTCAGCATGCTATACATGCTTTTGTCCTTTTCATCCCTACTGTTTATTCCCACTGGCAAAGCTGATGTGGTTATAGTTGTCTTCGAACAAAACAGAGATAACTAGAGACAAGCTCTCTAGTAGGAAATAGAGCAAGACAAAACCATTGGACACATATAAAATCTAGAACTCTATTAACCTCTTTAGTCCAGATGGTATAAGGAAGGCAGCCATCAGTTCTACCCTAGTGATCCCAAATTGTATAGGCAGAGGGTTGATTTTTTTTAAAACCATATAAAACATTCTTTTATCTATGTGATACCATTCTCTTTATTATATTCATAATGGTAAAAACTAACTAGATGCCCTAACCGGTTTGGCTCAGTGGATAGAGCATCGGCCTGTGGATTGAAGGATCCCAGGTTCGATTCCGGTCAAGGGCATATACCTTGGTTGCCGGCATATCCCCAGTGGGGAGTGTGCAGGAGGCAGTTGATCAATGTTTCTGTCTCATTGATGTTTCTAACTCTCTATCCCTCTCCCTTCCTCTCTGTAAAGAAATCAATAAAATATATATTAAAAAACACACACAAAAAAAAACTAACTAGAAAAAAGCCAGAGGAGAAATCAGGCCATTAAAGTCAGGTGACTACAGGGAAGAGTTAAAAGAATAAATTCACAATTAAATGAGAATAGCTGGAAGAGATTTCCAGTGCATGCAGCATAACCTATTAGTCCTCTTCTGCACAAACAATTGTGCTTACTTTCAGCCTAAGTTTTAATATAGGTTTGATTAGTTTTTGCTGTTATTGCCCAGTTAAATAGATTTCAGTCTAGTTAATTATCCTGCTTATGTAAATTTAGTGAATGGATCATCATTTTTTAAGCTTAAGCCAAGGAAAAAGATGTTTTAGGCTCAGGAATCATAGCTAATGTCATCTATATTAGACTCCATAGACTAAGAAAGCACTTATTTTTTACAAAGCTCGCTTATTATGAAACAAATACTTCAAATAACTTCAAGAGAAACAAATCAAGAGTTTTTTTGGGAAATATGTTAATGTGGCTTCTACATGCAATCCCTTTTGCTTAAAAAAGAAACTATTTTATACCAAATTTACAAAGACAAACACTATTACTTCCTTTAGAGATCTACAACTGCAGTAGTAAGATAAAAGTTATGCTTTTACTAGTAGAATATAATTAAATGTATAATATTTTTAAAACTTTGGGATGACAATTTTTTCTCCTAATCTTGCAATAAAAATGGTCATATTTACTTATTTAGCTAACTGTACGTTCCTCCTTGTTTAACAGAACCCTGATTACATTCAGTGATGAGCAGCTATACTTCAGGGAAGAGAACTGGCTACACCTCACCCCCAGCTCTAGGAGGTCAAGCTCAATTAGTCTAACTAAACCAAGACTGGTACTCTTACTCCCTTTGATTTAGAACTGAACAGGCAAATAATGCAAGTCCCCACATCTTAGAAAGCACTGTTCCTCTTCCTTTATGCAAGGATATGATGGTTGGGTCCTTGGCAGGAAAGGACAAGCTTGAGAGCACAGCATGGAGCCTTGTGAAGGCTCCTGGAAGAGATGGAGAATCCAGATTCACAGTGAGGTCACTGAGCTGCAAATGAACATCCTCACTCTCCACTACCACCTCTGCCTCCCCCTTCCTTTCCTCCAGGCTTCTTGTTAATGAGTAATGAATGTTTCCTTATTATACAATCTAAATTTTCTAGTATCAGCAGATAATTTTAACCAGGCATGATTCCAGCTCCTTGGCAAGTATTACATTACTCGATACAGCAACCATCTGAGGAAGGTTCTATGATTATCCCCATTTGTTAAATAAGTAAACGGAGGTATGGGCTAATTTACCAATGTGACAGAATCTCATGTAAAATCTCGTATGTGGTAAAAAGATAACAATCAGCAGGTCTGACTCCAGGCCCATACTAAACAATCTAAGTCTTAAAAACATTTTCTTCAAAGTGATAATGAATTAATACCGATTAGTTTAAAATCTGTATTATTTTGAGAAAATTATGTTTTTCTTAAATAGAACTTCCAAAATTATTTCAATCACACAATGTTTTTGTAAGCTAATATTTACTTAGGATAAAAATCAGTGCATGTGCTTTACCATCAGTGGTATCAAAGTCAAACCGTTCTTTTTAATAGTTTCATATTAGAACATCCTACATTCAAAAAATATTTTCGGTTTATCCTATAAAATAGACTTGGATTAATTAAAACACTTAAGTATTTCTTTCCACTGATATCATTAATCTGAATTGAAAAATAGCTATTCCAGTATCTAAACAACAAAATTAATAATTTTAGAAATTACTGAAATGGATAACAAAACATTCTCTCACTGAGTCCTCACCTAGTTTTCCATCCATATTAACCTGTTAAGAAAATAACTAAATGAAGAAATAACCTAATAAGTGAATTTTTAACATCAAAACTATTAAAACTGTAAAGAAAATGGGCATTCCCACTGCAAAGAAATCACTGTGACTAACAATAAATAAGACTTTAAAAAAAGAAAACTGAAAGGATTTTTTTAAAATATATATTTTATTCATTTTAGACAAAAAGGTACAGGGAGAGAGAGATAGAAACATCAATGATGTGAGAGAATCAGTGATTGGCTGCCTCCTGCACGCTCCCCACTGGGGATTAAGCTCACAACCCAGGCATGTGCCCTGACCTCCTGGTTTATAGGTCAACACTCAACCACTGAGCGACATCAGCAGGGCAGAATTTTATTTTTATACAACAAAAATAACCAGATAAAATTGCAGTCTTCATATGAAAAATAAGCCTCTCTAATCCTATCTAATAAAAGAGAAACATGGTAATTGGAATATGACCGCTACCCATCCCATTGGTTAATCAGGGAAATATGCAAATTAACTGCCAGCCAAGATGGCAGCCGGCAGGCAGGCAGCCTGAAACTAACATGAGGCTTGCTTGCTTCAGTGACGGAGGACTCCAACCTTCCCCGTTCACCGCCTGCCACTGCAAGCCTCTGAGCTGCAACTCTAAGCAACTATGTAACAAATACAGAAGCTAAACAAAACCCCAGAAACCTGCTTTAGTCTGGCTTGGGCTTCAGCCAGCAGGATTGCAACATTGTAAGCAAAGGCGAGAAACCTACTTTCAGCAGTGGAGGCCTAAGTGCTAGAGCCAAGACTAAAAGCTAAAGCTGGCCCAGAATAAAAAAAAAGAAAAAGAAAAAAAGGAGCGGTTGGGATCTTCAGTAACCCCAGCCTAAAAACAGCCCTCAGCCCCTCACCCAGACTGGCCAGGCACCCCAGTGGGGACCCACTCCCTGAAGGGTGTGTGACCAGCTGCAAACAGCCATCATCCCCTCACCCA